AGGGGTACAGCTTAGGGGTGACATTTTTAATTCCATCGATACACGATTCAAAATCATCAGTGAACTTGAACAAAAAAGCTCGAACAACAAAATCACGGTGAGGAATTTTTCCAGTTTAACCTCAGAATATTCACTCCAAGCACCGACGTGCCTCAGCGACTGCCAACACTGCTGATTTTTCCTGCTTTTCTCTGTGAAACTTATTTAAGGTTTTCATCAAGAAAGATGACAAACCAGGCAGCGTGCCTGATGTGGACAACGTTACTAATTACTCCCTGTATTCCCAGCCCTTATTCCACTTGGAAAAGCAGAGTGACTTCATTCCAACAGAGTAAACCCCAAACTATTACTTCTAAAGGCAATTTCTCATCAAAAGCTAATTGCAAAACCATGATACACTTATTTCAAGCTGTGTCCCAGCACTTCAGCAGACAGCACAGTGCTGCTACACACCCTGAAGCATGGCCCTAGCTCCTGCCTGGAATGTGGAAGGCTCCTTGGTACAGGGTGGAAACCACCACATCAGTAATGTGACCCCAGTGAGAAAAGCTGGGGAAACATCGCGGAATGAAAACAGGGTTTGTTCCAGACTAGAATATTCACGTGCTTTAGCGAGGCAATTTCTGTTCCCAATGAACAGGCACTGCGATAGCTGAACTGCTCGAGTCCTCCGTACATAGGCCTTCCCTTCACCACTGAGGCAGGGCACCTGCCATGCTCACAGACACTTGACAATCAGTGAATTAGCTGTTGTAATGAATCTAGCAACCTCGTTTTCAAGTCTAACAACAACACAGAAATGTGAGGTTTCCCTCTTAACCGACAACCCCTGTTTTTGAAACCACGTGCTCAACCTGCTCCTTACCGCACAACCTGCTGTTTTTTGAAGGAGAACATGCTATTGGCTTGAAAGGAGAGAGCAGCAGTAAGAGACACAAGCTTAAATCAAACAAAAACCATCACGGGACATTACGGCACCCTCTCACCGGAAGGGGTAACGCAACCCGTTACATAGGATTGGCATTTTTCTCAGACGAAAACCAAGGCGCAAACGAGCAGCCCGGTCCTTTTCTGCAGCTAAGCAGAAGCCTTCTTCATTTTCTGCGCCGCAAACCACTTGTCGCTGTTGTCCGCCGCCATGGCCTGCACGAAGAAGAGCGTTCACAGGTTCAGAACGGCGGCCGAGGCCCAGCCACCCGGCCGCTCACGCTCCCCAGCCTGCCCCGCAAACCCAGGCCAATCACAAGGACACTGCCTCACCTGGAGGAAAGCGATTCTGGGGGATAAATTATTTTTTACATACTAGTAAGGAAAACAGACACTGAAAACCAATATTCTTTGCTGAAGCAAAGAGATGATCTGGTAACACACGAGCAAAACAGGGTGGTTCAAACAGAGCCTCCCCACAGAGCCCGCGCTCCACACCAGAGCCCCTCTGCCTCGCGAGGATGGCCAGCTGCGCTGACCTTACTGCAGCTCACAAACCATTTCCTGTAGGAACTTACACCAAAGCGCTGTTGACGTGACACCACCACCCAGCTGCCCCGAGAGCGAGGCTGGAAGACTCTAGCCAGGACACTAAGGGAACTCGAAAGACTGATTTGTTTTTCTTAGCAGGACTGCTCAGAAAAAGGCCACACGCAACGAGAATCAGATTCTAGGGGTGTCTGTAATCAGAACGTGCAGACAGCGCTACTTACGTCATCCAACAGTTTGCCACCGTTAGGGTCCACCTTGGACAGATCCCTGAAGGCTTCATCTCCCACAAAACAGATTTCATGGCCATCCTAAACCAAGTTTAAGAGCAGGTCAGTTAGATAAACGGCAGAGAGAAATTTAAATCGCATTTAATCACTGCATCCAATATTACTCACAGGATCAGCCAAAATAATCACTTGCACTGTGGCTTTGCCGGGTGTGTCCAAGCTAACCAGAGGCGTTAAAATTTTCTGATTCTCCTTTTTCATCAGTGCTTCAATGTTTGGCAACTTAAACAGAAAACAAACAAAAATCAACCCTAATCAGACAAGGATCAGATGCATTCGGGTTGTTCTCATTCACAGCTCCTCATTACCCACAACTCCATCGCATTCCCTCTGCGAGAAAGGCAAACAAGGTATCTGCTCGCTATTATTTTGTTCAGATCCGAGATATTTTGCTAATACCAGAAACAAACCTCTCACTAGTCAGCTCTGGGTCATGAAAGGGGGAAGGGAAACACAATCGTTACCTCTTCTTTGGCACAGGAGAAGGCAATCCGCCCAAACGCTGTCCCGTGGTCAACCGCTCCTCCAACAGTCTTCAACTCCAGCTTACACTGAAGGAGGAAAAAAAGAAAGCGTGACTTGCAAGGACACTGTTCTCAGCGCCACATTCGCTCCAGCTTTTCCTGATGTGGATGCTTTCAAAATCACCCACACACATATTTCCCAACAAGCTGGAATTACCAAAGCAAACCACAGCTTCTTTTTTTTTTTTTTAAGTTAAGTTTAAGTTTTATTTTTTTTTTTTTACAGTTAAGTGTATGCAAGCTTTAATTAAAATGCACAGAATCAAGTCCACAGTTACTTTAATTAAGAGCTTTTTTTCTCTTTAAGATTTTGTTCTGACAAAATGAGGGGTTTCTACAATGAGATGCAACTCTTAAAGATCAGAACTGGAAAGTCTTCCAAGGACTAACCTGGTTATCCGCATAGCCTAGCAAAGCCCTTTGTTTTTCCTCATCCTTCTCATATATTTTCATCCCGAGCAAGTCAGCCCAGTAGCTAACAGATTTCTGCAGATCGGAGACACCCAAGGTTACCTTTAGCACAGGATCTGTAAGATCCCAATAATTTGAAATTAGTGACAAATATATCATAGTTTTAAACTCAGCTGTATGCTCTTGAGAAGGAAAGGAACAAGGAAACTACAAAACCATGCTCTGCTTCACAAGCTGCCACCGAGGCAAACGCACAGCCTGTTCTAATACCCCACTCGTAAACCTGTTTCGAACACCAGTGAGAGCGTGTACGTTTCACCTTGCTTCAGCTGTTCCTTGTCTTCCAAGTAGAACTTGTACCCTCCTGGGGCTTCAGCTTCAAAAATACCCGCCGTGACTTCTCTGAGGGGCCACCCCATGTTCTTGGCATTGCTCACAGCCTGGCTGGACACAAGCGTTATGCCCTAGTGAGAACAGAACAGACCAGAGACACAGAAAATTCACAGGGCGGACGCTGACTAACTCCTACCTTTCGACAGGCTGCCTCTACCAACGACCAGAAACAAACCAGATTTCTTTTTGTAACAGATGGACCATATGGTCTCCCGAGAGCCAGGTGTCTTGCTCCTATAAAATAAGCTTAACCTTACCGCGCACCCCACCTGTATTTGGAATGCATTGATCTACCCTTCTTCCACATCAAAGGGAAATGAAAAGCAAAAGGATTTTAAACCGATTCAACACATTGTACAGAAGCAGAAAAATGAGTTCCTAACTGTTCTACCAGGGCAGGCAGACATCTGTGGCTCCCATCGGCTGGGGGTTTCTGTCACCCCCACTGGGGGAAGATTAGCTCAGGGGAAACAATGAGCAAACACATCACGTGTATTCACAGAAGAAACACGAAAACTTCACTTGCTGTCAGCTAGTAAATAACAAAGAAACAAATAATAACAAATAAGAGTGTTTTCCTACAGCAAGATCCTTCTCAACTAATCATTCCATGTTAGATCTGCCAGCCAATACCAGCTGCCCGACACACACAGCAGCCAAGAGGTGGAGCGTTTCCTGGATCCTATGTGAGCACAAAGCTGCTCTAGTTTCTGCGTGGAGACAACTACAAAAGCAAGAATAAAAAGTGTTTAAGTGACCAACCAGCATAAAAAAGCTACTGGTACAACCTCTATGCCAAACAGAGTCCTAATCATAAAAATAAAAAAGTTTATCACAAGAAGAAAGATTTTGCTGTTAAGTGTGGTACTTACCAGAAAGTCATTGCCCAGGCGATATTCTCCAATACCATAATTGTAAGTCAATTCTGCAACAAAGTGGTTGTCTTCTGGCCCGTAACCCACCATCGTTTTGCTCCATTTTCCATCATAAGGGCTGGAACAGCCATATTTTATTGTCATGAGCATTAGAAATAAACATCAAGATCTGCAAGATTAGTGTTTCAAAAAAGAATTGCATTTCTAGAGTAAACCAACGGTACAGGCAACCCAGTAACCTCCCACCAAGCAGGAGCTGACACCTGTGAGGAATTCTGACTGTGGCTCAGCACACAGCAGACAGGAATCCCCCCCCAGTCAACAATTTTGACCTCAGGCTGCCATCCATGACCACGCAACAAAAACCAGTTCTACCTCCTCCTTAACAGCTCAGATTTTAAGAGCACAAGCTGCTCATCAGCTGGAACTACATGGGCACTTTCTTATTGTGAAGGAGGGAAAGCGGTTCGGCACAAGACTGTAAGATTTCTGGCATTCACGAAGACAAAAGCCTTTGGGGCTACCAGGAGGGATTTTTGACTCAAGACCCTAGTTAGCTCCATGGCTACTAAAAAACCCAATGTAATTGAATGTAATTCCAGGAAAGTTTAAAAATAATTTTATCAAGTTCAGTATCGGTCTATAGGCGTAATACAGCAATACTCGTGTTTCAATGTAGACATCACATACAAAAAGGGGAACTGTTGATTCCAAGGGAAGCACTTAAAAAAAACCCCAACCCAACCCAACGCAAACGAAAGCAACCCCTATTTCACCTATTGAGTAACGACACCCGGCCGGTGAGGAGCGGCGGGTGTTTTATGAGGAGCGAAGGCCCGGGGAGGGCCCGCGGGCACTACTCACCCGTTGCAGCTGGCTTTGCAGCCCTCCTCGAACTCCTCGTGCCTCAGCACCTTCAGAATTCAGAGAGAGAGAGAGGGTCAGCACAGAGAGGCCGCGT